GAAGGTGTTACCAGCTTCAGGATCGCAATTAAATCCAGTGATCAAATTGACAAGCATTTTAATGGAAATGGAATTAACTTCACTTGAAACTGTATCTAGTGTTTAATGGTTGAGTTGGTGTGTCAAGCATTCGGTTAGCTTCGTTTGAGCTTCTATCTGCTTCTGTTACTGCAATAGCAGGCGTTGGACATGGTGTGCAAAATAAAGTATTCAAATTTTCAATCTTCTCCTGAAGTCAAGTCAATAATGCGCTTTATTCATTCATTGTAGGCGGGATTTTCGGTAAAAAATTATCACTTTTGCTTTGTCGTGCATGCGAAAAATTAATATGTGACATTCAGTAAATAGATAATGAGGAGGAGGGAGAACGCATAGTAAAAGCAGAAACTGCTATATGCGTGAGACCCCGTCGCAGTTCATTTGATGGTTGTTTCCTGAAAACCAATAAGCGAACAAGATAATGTTCAACGGAGTTGTGAAAAGCTGTGCTGCCAATGTACAAGGGTTTAAGTTTTTTGCATGTGACAGAAGTGGAAATCGAGCGAGAGGGGGTTTAGTGAAGAGATATGACACACGAGACATGATTGCGCCGCACAAACGGTCACACTCTTTAAGGTATTGGTTGGCAATGGAGTCGACCAGCACCCCTGTTATTTGGCTTTGTGTTCCAACGATCTGATGAAAATAAGGCATAAAATCGAAATAACATTATTGCATCTCTTGGTACATGAGCTGGTATAACACCAGGTTTGTCAAACCGTCTCGTATCTGCCGCGGTAAGTACGTTCTTCAGCTTCTTACTAAACATCCATTTAGATTGATTATCTTTCAGACCTCAGTTTATTCAGTCAACGATACACCGAAGGAAGCACTACTCTTAAGTTTCGCCCTCATTCGTGTTCATCAATAGTGCACATTCACCCGCATCTTCCGGGTATTGCATTCTAAAAGGCGTGTTTTGCCATTTGGATGGTGAATGTTTGGATTAGGATTCGGTGTTTTACCATTGTTCCTACACACTCGCATCTGTGCTGAGCAGAGTTATCAATTCATGCTTGTTCATATGTTTTCTGCAGAGGTAATGGGTCATTTCGCTTAGACCGACTGCGACGAAGAGAGATATGCAGTTGAACATGTGGAAACTCCAGTCAGAAGCCTCTTCCATGCAGGTTTGTGTTGACGTACTACAATTAAACATGCTAGGGCGGGTTTTCCTAGTTTACATTTACTTTCTCATCTGCTTGTGGGAAGCTGTGTGGAGAGAGCTGATTTAGTGGAATTAACTTTCGTCACAGTGAAGATTAACTGATTTGTCGTAGGAGTAGGTTAATATTGAACAAGAAAAGCACTGAATCCACGTCTTCTTGCTGCTCGAGCACCTTTTAATGGTGCTGCGTTTTGGTGATAGTTCCTGATTATTTTGTTTCATTTCAGATTTTCGATTTTGAGCTCACGGAGGAAGAAATGCATCGGTTGAATTCTCTTGGTCTCAATGAGCGCCAGTTCAAGTTTGAGAAGTAAGAATTTAATCGTTGTTATTTTAATAATTCCAATAGGCTGAAAACCCACCCGGAATATCCGTTCAGTGAGCCTTTCTGATGAGTTGATTTATCTTTGAATAAAATTTTCCCATTTCACGAAGCGTTTTACTTTGTGCAAAAGGACATGTCGAGTTCGGACTGTAATAGTGCGGCATATATTAAACTCTAGATAATACAGTGTCGATGGTGTATTAGCACCGACATGCCAATTTCACCGCCTCAGCCTCCGCAACTGTTGTAGCCAACAATCCTTGGATAATATGTCGCACGCACCGAGGGAGGTCTGTGAACATGGGGTTTTTATAACGAAGAGTCTTGCAGCACGTCCACACTCGCCAACTATTATTTCGCCCATTTTCCCTATCTTACTTTATTGTTCCCCAGTTCTTTTCCCTGGCTTGAACATGTGAACGTATTACAACAATTTCAAAGTTCCATATTATGAACATTATGCGACAAGTATGCAAGAATGATGTTAAAAAACTGGTGCTGGAATGCCTCATCAATTTCTTCAACATCCAGCTTTGACCGTGCTTTCTTCCTCCTGTAGAGAAGTACCTTGTCACATGTGTTTTCTGTTTCCAATCCTCAAAATTCGATCGGAGAATGATGAGTTTAACCCATTTATTTCAGCTGTGATATACCTGAACAAATGCCTGGCTACGGAAGCATTGCGGGACTGGTATACACTTAAAGTGATCCATCTACCTTTCACTCTGTATGTATACTTCCTCTTTTGCATCACTTATTTTACCGAACCAGTGCCACTTCTTCGGTCAGCGTGTGTTTGGTCTTACTTTTCGCACGCCTCTATATCTTCGCTTTTGTCTCCGCAGGTTTACCCACAACACAACCGTAGTCCATTTCGTAGTGTCTCGCTCCGTTTTTGTATGAACGCTCGTTTGCGATATAGC